AGCGTAGGCGTCATCCCAATATCACACGGACTGTAATGTGTTATATATAGTACGTGGATGTTACGTGTATAGCGTAGGCGTCATCCCAATATCACACGGACTGTAATGTGTTATATATAGTACGTGGATGTTACGTGTATAGCGTAGGCGTCATCCCAATATCACACGGACTGTAATGTGTTATATATAGCACACGGATGTTACGTGTAGCGTAGGCGTCATCCCAATATCACACGGACTGTAATGTGTTATATATAGTACATGGATGTCACGTGTAGAGCAAATAGTCACATGAATGCAGAATAGGCACCATGTCGTGCAAGTCATCACAATATAATACAGCCAGACAGCGTAATATCTAGCACACAGATGTCACGTCACGTGTAATGCGAATCATCACAATATCACACAGCCTGACAGCGCGTAATATCACACGGATGTCACGTGTAGCGCGAATCATTACAATATCACACAGACTGACAGTGTAATATATAGTACACTGACGTCAAAACAATATCACACAGACTGACATTGTGTAATAGTAAACGGAAGCCACTGCATGGTATCAATGCACGTTGGTTCATCGTCTTTGTACGTAACGTCTCGTTCAATTCTCGATCGAACAAGGCTCCCGTTAACACTTGCCCACGTTTTGCCCACCCTCAGGACGAGTTCTTCGACGGGGAGATTGCCGTGCACATACTCGCTCACGAGGTCGAGTGGAGGGCTCTGCGGCGGCTTCTCCACGAGCTCAACCCGCATCAGGGCGTGCCGGGGCGGCCGTTCGAGTGCGTGGTCACGCACGACGACAGGGGAGGGGGCGGGACGAGCGTCGACTTCAGCATGAGTTGTGCACGCACCAACCTCTGCCGGATGATCAGAGCCGAGGTGCGGGAATCTCAGTGCGAAACAGAGCGGAGCGTGGTGCAAAGTCGGGCAGACGAGAGACAGGAAGGTCGTTCCCAGAGGCATGCAGAACAGGAGGGAGGAGGAAGTGGGAGGGGTAAGGAACAGGGAGAACAATGTCAAGGGGAAGAAATACAGGGCGGACAAAGTGGGAGGGGTAAAGAACAGGAGGGACGAATCGGAGAGATAAAGAACGGGAAAAGCAATGTGGGCGGGATAAAGAAGAGAATAGCCAAACCCAGAATGATGACGATTGGGCGGTGGGACTTGACAGCACCTCAGAATTTGAAGAGATGAGGAACCAAAGCAGCAAAGATAGGGAATCACGTAAGGATGGTAGCAGAAATGAGGTTTCCAATGTTGACAAGGACGCGCAAGTAGGTGGCGGTAATAGCGCCTCGCAGAGTCCGAATGTGACTCCGCAATTACCGTGCCAGCATTATCGCAAATAGCCCACGATTCTCAAGATGATTCTGCGGGCGTCTACGCATACAGGGAACACGCAGACGGGTGGTTGGCACGTCGGGAGAGCACGCCCACGAACGAGGCCGTGTGCGCGCCGGAATCGGAAACGTCCGGTAACCTTCTCGATCAGACGCAGCCGTTCGTCGTCGGCTCGGACCTGGCGAGTTTTCCCACGTCGCAGTCCACCGAAGACAGCTTCCACACTGCGGGCGAAAACTTTGAAGCCGACGACGCATCCCGGCACGAGAGCGTAGTCGCGGGAACTGTCGCTCTGGAAGCAAGAGCAGACCGAGAAGACGCGACACGCGGGGTCGACGCCGGACTCTGCCGTGACGGCGGCGAAAACGCAGAGATGGCAACCGTGGAGCAGCGACGTGGCAGCTCCGGGAAAGGTTCCGGCGTGGAGGCAAATGCAGACGCTGGCGGTCCCGCCGTCCCAGATTGCGACACGATCAAAGGGAGCGAATAGAAGTCCGGCGGCGTCGGCGAGAGGGGAAGACGAGAGGGTTAGTCGTACGCCTACGAGAGCTGCCACAAGAAGGAAGGCGGGGGAGCAGGCGGATGAGCAGACAACACGCAGAGTAAGGAAACGGCTGTCGTAGGCACCCGGCGAGCTGTATTCACTGCGGGGTTTATTTAGTCGGCAAGATCGTCTTTGTAAAATATTGTGAAAGTTAACAAAACTTTACAATAACAAGTGCCGCATAGCGACAGCGCTCATCTAACGTCTACTGCGGTGACTCTGTGGTGGAGTGGAGGGATTCTAGTAAACCCTGTTAGTCCCAAATGTGTTCACATACATGCCGAAACAGTGGAATGCACAGGGATGGTATCAGGAACCTTCTCAAAAGAAT